GCCAACAGACGCCAACATAGGCCCAACATAGGCCCAACCCAGGCCAACATAGGCCAACATAGGCCTAACATAGGCCAACATAGGCTCAACATGGGCCCACGATGTGCCCAACATACACCACATGGGCCCCACTTGGCCCAACCTAGGGCCAAGATGCGCACCAGATAGCTTAACTTTGCTCAATATAGGCCCCACCAAGGCCAACATAGGCGTGACATACGCCCCACACACCCAAGTGGGCCGGCGCCCGGCTGTTAGGCGTAAGCCTTGAAATCCGGCCAGGGGCCCACGGGGCCCCGCCATGGCCGTGTCTTTGCCGTAGGCAGTCTCTCCTCTCCGAAGGAGAGAGTGGAGTCCCGCCCCTACCGCCGACCCCCCAGGAATCGTGTGTTTTACAGTGTTTTTTGCTTCTTCCCTTTTTCCGGCTTTGTGGTTCAAGATGGGTCACCATGGCCCAACATAGGCTCAAATAATGCTGGAAATGCGTGCCGCACCGGGGTGCTTCGTCTGCATCGTGGGCGGCTGCTGGGCCAACAACAACCACAACAACAACCACCATCCCCACCACCACCCCCACAACACCCACGTCCACATCCACAACCACCACCACCACAACCACAAGAACGACAAGAACACAACAACAACAACAACAACAACAACAACAACAACAACAACAACCAAACAAACAACAACACCAACACCAACCACAACAACCACATTACAACAACAATCACAACATCATCAACAACAACGACAACAAGAACAACCACAACCTCAACCTCAACAACAACAACAACAACAACAACAACCACAACAACAACAACCACAACAACCACACTACAACAACCATCACAACAACCACAACAACAACAACAACACCAACCACAACAACCACAACAACAACACCAACAACACCAACCACAACAACCACAACAACAACAACAACAACACAACAACCACAACCACCACCACAACAACAACAACCACAACCACTAACCACTGCCAGAACAACAACAACCACAACCACTACCACCACCACAACGACATGAACACTACCACGACTGCAACCAGCCCTTTGCTTGGGCCCCTGGCCGGCTGTCGGGCGTAAGCCCTTAAATAAGGTGTTTGATTTGCTTGATTCTTCATTGACTATTCTATGACGTGAGATATCTGTCTTCACCGTCGAATACTGTATGAAGTTGATGATGAGCCTGTGGCGACATCGGCGGTGAACCATTTGGTGAGAAGTATCCGCCTGAGTGAGAAAACCTGAGCACAAACAATTCGCGTTGTCATGTCAACGTGTTCAACATGTCCGTGCTTAACGAAGTACAGACACACCCGTCTGGGTGTATGACCCTGCATGGCCTTTCTGAGGAGACACATAGCCATGTCTGTCACTATCAATTTTATCAACAGGGCGCAAAGAGCCTCCAACCTCCAGAGTGCGCAGCACGAAGCACAGCAGCCATTGACAGCTTGTCTGAAGACGCATAACCTTGAACATTGGAGCCTGGATCTGGGCCGGAAAGACTGCTGAATTGCTTCCATTGGGTGAAGACGCTCTGTCTGGCTTTGGCCGGGCCACTGCCTGCAAGACTGCGAACCGGCTCGCAAAGACACACTGCATGTTACGCGAATGTGAAATAGGAACTAACTGCTCCATTCTCTCAGTTCGTGACATGAGTACTTGCCACTTGTCAAAATCTTGCTGATGGGTATCTCCAATCTCCAACAACAACTCATCGACCAACAGTCGCACCACAGTCGGGGGCACAAATTGGCACAACCAGTGCAAGTCAGGAAACTTTTTGCCAAGCAGGTCGGCATCTGCATCATCTGCACAAGCAAACTAGCACAATAAAACACCAAATGCTGTCCAGTAGAACTATATATTGACAATATTTGACAATCTTATATATTTGTGATATGAGAAGGTCTTCGTGGCACCGCAAGGTCCAGCTCGATCTCAACCGTGCAACCACAACAGCACAGCGCACCAAGGCAGCGAAAACAGAAACTGCATCGGCCAAATGGATGAAACAAGCGTCACCTAGCTGAGTGCTCACACGCAAGTGACCAAACAAGAGCCACAGCATGCCACAGCATTTGAAGCTGGCAGCCAGCCAGGCACCACATGTGACACATCCCTCACGTGGCCGGACGGCCCGGGCCTGCAACAACGAAGGCAGTCAGCACATGCCCGTTGAATTTGTCTCCAGGTTTTCTGAGTGGTGCTGAACCACGGCCGGCTCCTAGGGCCGAGCACAATTGCTGTACCCTGAGCAATCCACTCAGCTCACACCTGGACCTCAGGGAAGACGATGTGTTGAATGAAAATCATCAATTTCATGTCCGGATGCCACGTTGACTGACCCAGTTCCTTAAACCCAAGCCGCTTCATGTGTTCACGTCAAATGGCAAGGGGTCGATTGGTGACACAGGCAATCCAAGGCCAGTTGACGACCCCCAGTTGATGGTGGGCAAGCGCGTGCACAAAGACCTGCAAACCAGTTTGGAACACATCGACTGTCCTGCCGAGCGCATTCACCTACTCCACGCTAGCCAGCTGTGACAAAGCAGGAGTGTGGGAGAGGCTCAGCACTATCGCATTAAACATCAGAAAACCCTGAATGTTGCCTGAAACACATGCACTTTGCCGGATCCAAGTGATCCTTGTAAGTTCAACCCACGCATCATGTTTGCCGACGATGCGGGGTCTGTCAGAGGGAGGCATGGTACACTAGTAAGCTCGCAAGTTTCAAAGCCAGCAGTTGGAGCCAGGTATACGTGAAGACCAACCGCGCTGCTGACCACCTGTCGGTAACGTTTGACAGCGCCGACGCGCCCACCAATTTCATTGGTTTTTGGCGCAAGACTTCCCCGTTGTTTTTGACTGGCCTGAATGCCAAGGAATGGATCAACATAGCCACTTGATTGGTTTGTGGCCGGATCTTTTGTCTGGTTCTTCGTGTGTGTGTGTCACCCCCTGTGCCAAAGGGTTCACTGCCACCGTTATCGTCGGAGTGGAGCAGGCCTGCAGAGCTCCACTTAACAAAGCTCTCTGCAGTGTCCTGAGGATATCGGCAAGGACGCTTGCCGACGTACCTGCACCGGAAGCTGTTGCTCAAACTATTCCACTTTCGATTTGATTCATGGTGGTTTCGCACGATACCTTCCCCATAAACAGGTTTCCCACAGCTGCTTTCAGCCGCCGTCTTTCAGCCGCGCTTCTGCAGACAAGTGAACAATTTTGTTCAACAATTCAGTTGCGCTGACCCTTTCACCTTGCGTTTCCCTCATTCCTTTTGACCTGGGAACTGAGTTAACTGAATACCAATGTCAGAGTGTGTTTCGCTCAGCCGTCCCACTCAGGTGCTGAGCGTGATCCCCGTCACTGGGGCGCTGTTTCATTGGGAAATCTTTAACGGAACTCACTACCGCTCACCGGAATTTCACTGGAATTTACCTCCACTTCCACCGAATTAACTGCCTCAAAGGCCGCCGGGCCAAAACACGGGATTACTTGGTCAGCCGCCGGGCTATAAAACGGTACTCCACCCCCAATGAGGCAGGTTTCCCAACCCCCCCCAGCTGAGTTCTACTCCCTACCTAATTAGGGCAACATAGGGAAATGGTAGGTAACTCTAGAGGGCTAAGTATTCATACACACACACACGGACACACACACATGTACATACATTTCCCTGCCCCCCGCTTTCCTTCTTACGCTTTCGGTCGTTTCTTGGGCTTTCTCTCAGGCTTTTTAGGTTGTTCTTGAGGCTCGTATCCCTATCCCAGTCAAGGGCTAAGTATTCATTTTCCTACACCTACCTTTCTTTCTTGCCCTCTTAGCGCTGCTCTTTCTGTCTTTCTTTTCTTTTGTTTCTAAGGCATTTTAGGTGACTATTTAGGTTTTTCACATGCGCGCCGCGAAGCGGCACCGTGTGTGTGTCACCCCCTGCGCCAAAGGGTTCACTGCCACCGTTATCGTCGCCACCATTTTCCAAAGCAGGGGAGTGGAGCAGGCCTGCAGAGCTCCACTTAACAAAGCTCTCTGCAGTGTCCTGAGGATATCGGCAAGGACGCTTGCCGACGTACCTGCACCGGAAACTGTCGCTCAAGCTTTTCCACTTTCGATTTGATTCATGGTGGTTTCGCACGATACCTTCCCCATAAACAGGTTTCCCACAGCTGCTTTCAGCCGCCATCTTTCAGCCGCGTTTCTGCAGACAAGTGAACAATTTTGTTCAACAATTCAGTTGCGCTGACCCTTTCACCTTGCGTTTCCCTCATTCCTTTTGACCTGGGAACTGAGTTAACTGAATACCAATGTCAGAGTGTGTGTGTCCCCCTCCGTATCTAGGAGTTTGATGTTTTTGCGCCGTTTCGCAGGGGGCCGGAGCCAGGTGGGGGGTTTCCGGCCAACGAAGACGCCCTTGACCTGGGCGCAAGCGTACCTGCGATCAACCGTTGTCCAAGCTGTTCTACTCTCTTTTTCTTGCTTTCATGAAGGTTTTCATGATACGTCCCCCAAGCCAGGTTTCCATGCACGGCCCTAATTCGGTCTGCTAAGTAATCAGTAACTAATTTTCTGGAGTCATGCATCAAACCTTTTTGTTCAAACACCTTCAACTCACTGGACTCCGCCGCCTTTCCGTTCCACCATTCCTTTTTTCGTGGATTATGATTAACTGCAAACCCTGTGGCTAAGTGTGTATCGCTGAGTCTTCCCACTTGGGTACACAGTGTGATTCTCTCGCAAGAGAGGCGCTGAAACCACCGTGGATCACATTTTTGATCAGCGTTCCTTCTTTTGTGGATTATGACTTACTGAATTGATGTTTCACCTATGAATCTTCTGATCGCAAAGCGGCCGCGCTTACGGAAAACACACACACATGGATATACACCCCCTTCCTGCCCCCCGCTTTCTCTCGTGCGCTTTCTTCGTTTTCTAGGTTTTCTTTCAGGCTTGTTAGGTGGTTCTTGAGGCACGTTTCCCTACCCCTCAGGTTTGAGTCAAGGGCTAAGTAATCAAGTGCTAGGTAGTCATCTTTTTCGCTATTCCTATCTTTCTCTCTTGCTCTTTTCGTTTTGCTCTTTCTTTCTTTCTTTCTTTCTTTCTTTCGAGTCTAAGGCGTTTTAGGTACCTCGCAAGCGGCTGCGTGTGTGTGTGTCACACCCTAGTTCTGAGGGCTTTCCACCTTTCACCTTTTCACCTCCACCGAGACCGTTCTTTTGCAACAAGCAGGGGGGCAGAGAGGACTTGCAAGGCTCTGCCCAACGAAGCTCTTTGCAAGATCCTAGGAAGCGGAAGCTGATCACTTCCGTGTACCTGCTCGTTCTTCCACAAGCTGTTACTCCACTTTTCCACTTTTTGATTCATGGTCCTTCATGTTTCCACCCCCCAAACCTCGGTTTTGCAGCTGATTTGAGCCGTCAGTTCACCACCGCCGGTATGCAGCCGAGTCAAGCGAAACAATCGATGTTCAAACACCTCCAAGTTATCGGACTTTTCGCCACGCTGTTCTATCGCCTTCCTTCCCAACGTGGCAATTGCGTTAACTGAAAACCCAAGTTCGAAGTGTGACTCGCTCAGTCTTCCCACTCGGGTACTGGGTGTGATCCTCCGAAAGGAGGCGCTGCTATCATTCCGGAAAGCATTGTTTTTTCTTTCTTATAACTGAACCCACGTTTTCCAATTTTTCCTGAATTCCCTGATTTTCGAGCCGCCGGGCTATAAGCGAGGCAATTACCCACCCAACGCTCCGACTTTCGTTTGTGTTGTACATTGCGACGTTTTCTCCAACTTCAATTTAATTTCCCACCCGCAGCCATTTGACCGACGATCAATGCATGCATGCTCACAGTTCGGAGATTACAATGCATGCCAATTTTCAATTTCCATTTTTCAAGTTTTAATCCTTCACTGCACGCATACGGATTTCCCGACTTCACTGTCATCTTCAAACTTATTGTTTCAGCTGCTGTGCCGCGCCGGCGCCATTTTCTCGCAGCCACTTGGACGGCCCTCTCCACATGCAGTACCCTTGGCCTTATCCGCATTGGCCACAGCCCTGTACCGCACCCTCCATACCCGCAATCACCACTCAACCACCGCCATGGCACCACCCTCCACCAACGGCACCTGTTCCTACAGTTGTCTCCAATCCACCACAACAGGCTTTTCTACCTCATTTTCAACCCACTCCGCAGCAACAGCCACCACACGCGTGGCCACATCCTATGCCAACCCATTCTCCACCAATACCAACCTTCGTGGCTCCCACACCGGTCCACCCAACGGCTCCACCGATGCAGGCATTCGAGACCATACCAACGCAACCTCCTCCACACACTATACCCCATGCACCACCATCCGTTGTCCCCGTTCCTCCAGCATCACCAACACAGCCGCCAATTCAACAGGTCCCCATCCATTGGGACCAATCTCAAGGTGTTTGGCAACCTTTCTCGGCCTTTCCACCAGTTGCTCACCCATTCCCAGCTTCCGCACCGGATCCGAACACAACTGCTTCAGCTACTCCACCACCTATACACAACTACCTTCTGGCGTTCCCAACGCCC